CTAAAGGATTAGATTAAATATAGTTTAGACACTAAGCCCCTGTTTGGCATCTATTATATTATAATTCATTTATCTCTCGCTTCTTATTAACCACACATTCTCCAATTAAATAATGTTACACGTAAATTCAAAAACTCTTCCTTTTAACTACACATTCTTCAAAAGATACTTTTCCAAAAATTAAAATAGCAAATGATAGGGGCCCAATCGGGGGCTAAGTTAAAAAATCACAAACGTATAGATCAAAAGCATAAAAAGTAAATAACACCAAAAATTGATAACGGAGGAAACTCATTGAAGAACTTTTCACAATAATAAAAAACTTCTAGGCAAACCTTGCCAAAAAGACCCACTAGAAAAATTAACTTACAATTGGTTAAAACACTATTAAACCTTAACTGGCTCTAACTACCCAACTTGTGAATCACCAAAAACTCTTCAATTATATGACCTGCAATTTTTAACAACTCTGGGTTACTTTTCCCTCCATAAAGAACACTAAGAACAAACTCATTCCAGAGCGCTAAAACTCCAAGTGCCTCTTCTTCCACTTCAGATTTTGAAGGCTTATAGCTGAATGTAAGGGTTTTTGGTGTTTGATCTTTAGATCTTCTATGATTTGATCTTTGTTTGAAGCAAGAGAGTAATGGAATCAAGTTGATCTTCAATGGAAAGTTCTCTTAACCGAAATTAAGGCGAAATAATGATTCAACACACACTAGGATGAACATATGCTTAGGCATACATAATAGATAGTGTTTGAGGTTGAATATAATTGAAAAATCTAGATGTCTCACCATTGCTTGAGCCTTGTCTTCGTGCTTAGCCAGTCGTTCAAGCGCCAGGGTCATGCCTAGCAAGTGGCAAAGCCGTGCTTTGGGCACTTGAGCATGCCATTCATAGTCAGCGAGCAATTTTGAGCAGACATTTTCTTCTTGATCCATATTCGAGATCTTTGACTTATTCATGGCCTATACTATCAATCTTCAACTATTTTGACTTTTTAATTGGAACCTTCAACTTTTATTGGTAAACCTTTAGTTGTCGTGGATGAAAACCGTTGTTACAATCAATTATGAAAAGAGCAAAGAAGCAAATTACATTTATCTAAACACATGCATCCAATTGTAGAAACGGGAAAATTGATTCTAAGAAATCTGAATGACATTGAGATCAAAACGTGCTAAAGAATCAGCCGCCTTATTCGCTTCGCAATAAACATGTGATATATCAATATATATAAGTTGAACAAGCTCTAAAATATCCTCCCAAATAAGCCGAAAAGCCCAAAGCATGGTAACACGATGATGAAACCAATGAACCACCACACTAGAATTCGTTGTATAGAAATAATCTCTCTATGTCAAGGATATGGGATATTTGAAGGCGTATCTTAAAAGCTAATACCCTTGCTAAAGTGTTAGTGCCAACTCCAAGAGAATGATAGATCCCTAAAATTACCTTCCCCTGCTAATTCCAAAGCAAACCACAACCTGTCGGGCCTGAATTTGCACCGCTAGCACCATCAATATTTAGTTTATAAAATCCATATTGTGGGAGGGAACCATTTTACAAAAAATGGAGCTTTGACTCATATTGGCACCATAGGGATGTGTAGTGCTTGTGAATAAGAAAAAGGAAAGGACCATTTCTTTGGTTTTAGCAGACCATTCAATTCATGTAGCCAATGTTTTAATTTAGCACAAACCCTGTGCAAGTTTCAACTATTTTGACTTTAATTACCACTCAATAACTCATGACTTTGGATTCGAAAATTGTCTATTACAATATTGGGCCTAACATTACATTCAATTTTATGAAATGGAAAAATATTGTGAGAGAAACTGTGTGGTGGTTTATAGATAGAAAGAATATGTATAATTTATCATATTTTTAATTGCAAGTATATATCTATAACACGATTGTGATGTTTTAATGGACAGGGCTATATTAGTAAAACGATTGTGGTGTTCTTATCAAAAATCTGTTTTTATGTAGTGTATGCATCAAACAAAAATATGGGTGAAAATATATGGTTTGTATTTTATTAGTTTCAAAATTTCGATTAGTCAACTATTCACCTGCAAAGAATAATAATACAAAAAACATTATAATCAACTCATTATTTGATGTATACCCACTACTAGAGGGGTAATCCTATACCTCAAACTTGTTACGAGGAGCGTGACTTTGAGATATGGGTAGATAAATCTCTACAAATCTTTGGGCTTATTTCGCAGTGTTTATGCTTTTTGTTGAAGAATTTCATTTGAAAATTATTTTGGGCCATTTTTTTTGAAAATATTTTCTATCAAGAAAAATGCTTTTAAAAAATTATTCAAGCATATTTAAAAACAATTCTTAATTTCAAAGCAGCTTTTGTAATTTCAAAAACCAGACAAAATAGGCCTGTAAATTGTTGAGTTATGGCAAGATAGGTGAAAATTTTTGGTTGATGATAAGTGATTTATTTCTTTAAATTTCCTAATTAGTTTTGTTCGATGTATCTTAAAATGTTAAATATTCAATTGAGATCATTACTATAGTTTTATAATGTCAAGATTGAAGCATCCATGAGAAGGAATCCTTCGTTTTAAGTTTCACTCTATAAACTTGGCTAGGTCATCGTCCAATCAATTCATGATTTAAATAGTTGATTCATTCGATTTCAACTAAGATTGTATTTGATTGGCTTGGAAACGATTACTTAGAAAGGAATATGTTTTCCTTGTTTTGAGAAAAAACAAAAATTTACTTTCCCAAATAAAATATTTTCCTCAAAAACAAGGAAAATTAGAAAATATTTTCAACAATAGAAAAAAATAACAATCGAACACTCCAAAGTATGGATTTGAATGGAAAACTGATATCTTTTGTGAAAAATAAATGCAATTAAACATACCCTAAAGATACCCTAATTTTCATATAATTGGATTGGATCTACCGATCAACTTTGTCAATTCAATCCAACTTTTAAAAAATTAATTTCTTTTAAAATATTCATTTTCTTTTTAATTTCCTTGAATAATATTGGTGGTATTTATATTAAGGGTGACAATGAATCGAGTTTACTTGAGTCAGATCAATCATTAAATGTACGAGCTCGATTCGTGTCCACAAACTAGGTTTAATTTGACCTTTTGCTCATGGCCTCGTGGACTGAACCAAGTAGTTCACGAGTCCATGACTCGACTTTTTTTTTAAATGAAATTAATTAATTAAATAATTAAAAATAAACAAATATGGCTGATAAGCCCGCTAGTGAAAAGAAGTGTTCTCCTCAATTTATAACTCGTCTCAAAACAAGCTCAAGCTAGAATCGCACGTGGATCGAGCTCGCGAGTCAACAAGTAGCTCGACACATTTGTCAACCCAAATTTATACAGCCGACTCTTCTAGTCTTCTCCGAAGCTTGCAACACAAACCGCACCGTGACTAATTAATTATTTTCTTTTGTTTTTTTCCTTTTTATTCCTATATTATAGGGTTAATTATATGAATGGTCACTGAACTTTGCCCTATTTTACTACTTAGTCATTGAACTTAAAAACATAATTCAATGGTCACTGAATTTCATCAAGTGCTATTACTTCATAACTGAACTTTAAAATGTATCTCAATAATCACCGAACTTTGCACCATGTTACCCATCCGTCACTCGAATGGAAAAATTCTTTAAGTCCAACAAACGGCGTCAACTTGAGTGACGGATGGGTAATACGGTGCAAAGTTCGGAAACTGTTGAGATACATTTTAAAGTTCGGTTATGAAGTAGTAACACTTGGCGAAATTCAGTGACCATTGAATTACATTTTTAAGTTCAGTGACTAAGTCGTAACATAGGGCAAAGTTCAGTGACCATTAAGATATATTTTTAAATTAAATTATTAATCCATTGTTTGAATCTCATTCTTTCCCAAAAAAAAAAAAAAATACATTTTTAAATAGTGATTTGTTATCATTCAACCACACATTTTTCAATAAAATAATATTACATGCAAATTCAAAAATTTTTCTTATTTTTTAACTACACATTTTTTATCAATATACTATTCAAAAATTCATTTTATCCCTTAAAATGGGGATCAAACAAGGGGTAAGCTTCTCAAATCGACCTCTATGAACGAGGAAATCAAAGAAAATGAAGGAAAAAAAAGAGGAAACAGAAAATCAGAGACCTATAAATTAAATAAAAATAGAATTACTGCTAATATTCATCCATTACGGTGAAAAAGTACGTTTGATTTTTAGATCAACTGATATCAGTTCACCATATCTCAAACTCCGTATAAATAGATTGAAAGAGAAACAGTTGGAACACTAAAAGAAATTGACAAATAAAAATTAAATAAAAGTACAAAAATGTTCGAATAGTGCCAATGTAACTGAGGTCGATTTGATTTTTCAATTATGTTACTACATAGTCACTGAATTTAAAAACGTAACTCAATGATCACTGAATTTCGTCAAGTATTACTACTTCATAATCGAACTTTAAAATATATCTCAATAGTCACCGAACTTTGCACTGTGTTATCCATCCATCACTCAAGTTGACGTCATTTGTTGGATTTAACGGATTTTTCCATTTGAGTGACGGATGGGTAACACGGTGCAAAGTTCGATGGCCATGGAAATACATTTTAAAGTTTGATTATAAAGTAGTAACACTTGATGAAATTTAGTGACCATTGAGTTACGTTTTTAAATTCAGTGACTAAGTAATAACATAGTGCAAAGTTCACTGATCATTCATATAATTAACCCCAATATTATACCAATTAAATTGTCAGCTCACTTTTGTAATTTTCTCAGCAATGAGAAGACGGTCCCTACCACGCCTCCCTGGATTTAACGGATTTTTCCATTTGAGTGACGGATGGGTAACACGGTGCAAAGTTCGATGGCCATGGAAATACATTTTAAAGTTCGATTATAAAGTAGTAACACTTGATGAAATTTAGTGACCATTGAGTTACGTTTTTAAATTCAGTGACGGTCCCTACCACGCCTCCCCCCTCTCTCTCTCTCTCTCTCTCTCTCTCTCAAAGTTCCACAGTTGGGCGTTCAAATTAATTTGAATTTCCACAAGAGAACCCCCAATTCCATTAGTTTCGAATTTCCTCCCACGGTTGATCGTATTGTTTAGAACCCAACAGCATCCATCTCGGCAGGTAAAGTATTTAACTTTTCCGATTTACAATTTATCATGCTACATGTGATTATGATTCAATTAGGGTTTATGGTTGATGATTACATACTTGTAATAATAATTGTGAAAGGGTTTTAGGAACTGTGTTTATTAAATTCTTTCCCGGTCTTCTTATAATCGAAGGTTTCCATGAGTTATCTGAATCATTTTCCTTGTTTAATTTAATTTTTTTTAAGGCATAACACAGGTCTGGGAATCTGAATTTTTTTATGGTTTACTGATTAAAGACTGTTTGGCTGCACTAAGTAAAGAAAAGAACAGAAAGCAAAATGAACTAAATGAATTGAGTTTCGTGGAAAATTAGTGAATCTGATTATTCCATTACAGATCAATAGTGGGGGCGCTAGAGTTTTTAATGTTATTTGTGGAATTAAAATGCAGTACTATGTTAATGAACTAGAGAGCTAATGGTGTATCCTGATAAAAATATGCATATTTATATGGCTGTTATATGCTTGGATGACAAAATGCCATCCATGAATTCAAAACAATGAAATTGAACTTTTTATGTGTCTATATCACAGTCTTTGCTTTATTTAATTGTGTGTGCAAACAATTAGTGAATTTAGGTGTAATGGTTGAGTACATCCTCAAACAAAACCAGCTTACTCAACCATAATTAATTCACAAATACAAGCAAACAGCTGGGATTTAACGACGCAAGCTGTAAATCTATTAATTGAAATGGAATTGAGCTGGAATCATTGTTATAAAGAAGAAAGGAGTGGGAGACTCAAAGAATTGAAAAGAAGAAAGGAGATCAAATTTCTAACAAATTCCAACTAACTCCTACTCTGTGATGCTTAGACTCTGCATTTTGGCTGGAGTACATGTGTCAACTTGACATGACACGGTTTCACGGGGTGCCCTTCTTCTTGGCACAGAAAGGGACACCTTCACTTCTTCCATCTTTGCCTCTTTCAATGGGACATCATCCTTTTCAGCAACCCGATGCGATAGTGTGTTGCACCGATGTGAAAATGTCCCAACTACTTCCTCATCCTCTTCAGAGTCAGTCTCACTGTGATAATTAGCCTGTGGGGCCTCTTGTTTTGAACTTGGCCCGCCACTTGCTAACTGACAATATGCATTCACCATCCGCTTCTGGGGACACTCCGACACCCGATGATGTCCTTCACATAAAAAACACTTCAATTTGGGAGTGACATCAGTTCGGCCCTCCGTTGCTTTTCCTTTGTTCCAGTTGCTACTATTATTGTCGTTGAAATTTCCCCGACGGCTGTTATGATAGTTTCCCTGAAAGCCACGGGTGCTTTGATAGGTTCCTTCTCTATTCTGAGAGTAACGCTCTCCCCCATTTGGGTTCGAGCTGGGTCTGTAAGATCTGTTACCACCTCCAATTGCTTGATTACTCCCCGAAGGTCGATCTTTTCTAGATTCTGTTTGGTAGTCGCTCAAGCATTTAGTGGCTCCCATGGCCGTGCTTAAATCAGTAACCTTCTGTCTTTGAAGTTCCGTGCGTGTCCACGATTTCAACCCTTCCATAAAGGTGAAGAGCTTATCCTTTTCTGACATATCTCGAATATTCAGCATATGCCCTGAGAAGGATTTCACATATTCCCTGATAGAGCTCGTGTGTTTCAGGTTTCGAAGAGCCCGTCGAGCCTGATGCTCGACATTTTCCGGGAAAAACTGCGATCTGATCGCTTCCTTGAGGAGATCCCAAGAATCAAGTCGAATCCTGTGGGCCTGAATGTTCGCATATTTGGTTCGCCACCATAGTTTTACATCTCCACCCAGATACATGGTAGCTGTGGTTACCTTTCTAGCTTCATCTTCGATCGAAGCTGCTAGAAAGTACTGTTCCATATCAAACAAGAAGTTTTCGACTTCTTTTGCATCACGTGCCCCTCCGTAGGTACACGGTTCAGGAATTCTGAGTCTAGGAGCATACTCGGGTGCGGGAGCTTGCCCATTGCCCACCGCACGTTGGAGTACTCGCAATTGAGCTCTCAACGCTTCCATTTCATCATGCAGATCAAGAATGATTGCAGCAGCTTCCGTCATTGCTGCGCAAGCTCTTTGGCTTTCATCCAATTGGATGTGTAATCCACGAATCTCAGATTCGACCGTTTCGACTTTTTCCTCGAGACCTTCCATAGCATAGCACAACCTAGTAGTTGTCTCATCAAGTGCATCCACGCGCTCTTTCGTAGTACCCTTCTTCTGAGGCTCTACCACTTCAGTGGTGTGTGATGTAATTGGATCCATAACTTTCTTATCAAGGGTCGTGAGCCGCGGCTCTGATACCAACTTTCACGGGGTGCCTTTCTTCTTGGCACAGAAAGGGACACCGTGCGGTAGTAGTCTGTTCCGCTAGACTACCTTCCGCCTTTTCTCGGTCGCGTCGGGACGAAAGAAAATTTGATTGCAATTTTATAGAAAGCTTACAATAGAGAATTTGAATACATTGAAAGTAAATTGAACATTGATTGATGAAAACTGAACATTACAATTGATGAAAGCAGAAAATTACAAATGCTGGTGCAGGGGGCGGACACCAGTGAGCTTGAAAGATTTTTGAATGACTAATACCCCCTATAATAGCATTTTGAACAAAAACCCAAGTGACGGGAGTAGACGTTTAAAAGACGAGGAATCATACTAAACGTTTGCCAATATCAGAGCTATTTTACAATTGAAATAACTATTACAATGAAAAGAAAATTACAACTCAAACTTAAAGTAATATTTACAATGCGCGGCCGAAGTTGGGCAAACTGCGGCTGCCATAGTGTCAAGGGGCTAAGTAAAGCTGTGATCCTTGACACACGGGTACGGGTATAGGTATGGGATATGGGGTGGACACGGCAAAAATCAATTGGACATGGCAAATCTTGACGACGGACGATTAGGAAGCTGGCTTCTTCACTGAATCCAAGTCTGAGTTCGAAGAATCATCTCCGACGAAGGAGCCAGCAATGGGAGAGGTGGCGCGGCCATCCGTGCTGTTCCTTTGGAATTTACAAGTTGAAGGATGAAGACTTGTAGAAGGCACTGCGACCACTAGTCGCGTGAAGTGAAGAATAGGAAAAGGCATGATGATGAGTTTGTTGGGCCTTTTTTTTAAATTTTGGTCCTTTGTTGAGTTGGGCCTTTTTTCTTTCTTTTTTTATTTATTTAAATATTAGGCCCATTATTTGCTACTAAGGTTAATTACAATTAGAAATCCTTTTTGCCCTAGCCCCATATGATACGAAATTTGCTCTAAGTTGGAGTTAGAGTAGGAAGAATTTCTTTTCGATTTAGTCATTTAACCTATTTTTAATTAAAATTCACTTCATATTTACGTAACTTTTACATTTGAATTTTTGGAATTAAAAGACATACCACGTACCCGTATTCGAAATTTGGACTCTTTTTAATTATATCCCTGTATCCTACATTTTAGAAAATAAAAGATCCAACGCTTGGATATGTACCCGAGTCCGAGCATCATAGCTTCTAATCTCTCTCGCCTGTTAAAATAATGAAAAAACATGTTTCCTAGATATGTCGCATTAACACTTTTACAATTAAAAAAACCTAAGTAAATGGCATTGTCTCAATCCCAATTAACACTTATCTTAGTTGGATCCGTTGTTGTCGAAATGATATGACCTAGATATTCCACCCTAGATTGGCCAAATGAGCATTTAGTCCATTTGGCATATAGCCTTTGTTCCTTCACTATCTCCGGTACCTTGGATAAGTGTCTACAGTGGGATCCTAGGTCTGGACCGTAAACCAAGATGTTGTCAAAGACTAGCACAAATTTCCTCAAATACTCTCTGAAAACTTCATCGTCAAGCATTGGAATGTAGTTGGGGCATTTGTGAGTCGAAATGGCATGACCTTGAAATCATATAGACCTTGGTGTGTCTTTAAAGCAGTCTTATGGATGTTAGTTTCAACCACCCTATTTGACATGCCAGTCTTGGAAAACACTTCGATCCATTTAATTCATCAATCAACTCATCAATTAATGGCTTGGGGTATTTATCTTTGATTGTGAGGCTATTTAGCTGCCTATAATCCACACAGACCTTCATGTTCCATCCTTCTTTTTAACCAATAACATGTGAGGCATAGGGGCTGTTACTTTGTTGAATGATACCAGTTGCTAACATCTCTTTCACCATTTTCTCCATTTTTGTTTTCTGTATGTTGTGGCTTTTGTAAAATCTTATTCGAAAGGCTAAGCTCCTTCTTTTAGTGGAATCCTGTGATCATTAAATTTAGGTTATAGATTTCCTTTTGGTTCTATGAATACTTTTGGGTAGTGTTCAATAATGTTTTGTATTGCTTCAGGAGATAGTTCATTTTCTTCTTCATTCACCAAGTGAATTTGAGCCATGATTCCATAAGATTGTCTTTGAACCTAGTTGTTCATTTGCTCCTCTCCAATCATTATAAACTCCTTATCCCCAAGTTCGCCCTTAAACTCAACATCCAATCCCTTATGGTAAATTCTTTTGATGCTCTGGTTGAAATCAAACATTAATGGGTTGAACTAGCTCAACCAATCTACCCCTAACACCATGTCTTTTCCACCCAACTTCAACACTCAACTGGAATTGGCATTCTGTTCCTTGCATGGTCCAGTTAAGTGATTACACATTGCATCACTATTCAATTTATCTCCATTGGCTACAATTACTGTTGTAGGTTGGTTAGCTTCTACTTTGTATTTCAGCTCCTATAATAATTTCTCATCAGTGAAGTTGTGAGTGCTTCCACTACAGTTACAATTGATGAATCCATGGAACCACACATTTGTTATCCCCTTTTAAGTACTTTTTGCAATGCTGATTCTCATATCATTAGGGACTTGATGGATCTGGAATTATTTTTGTGCTTTCCCCAGCCACTCTTTGTGACCTTCCCTATTGAAATATGGGAAGTCAATTTTTGGATGTTAGTTTAACGCCCTTCCTCTTTTCTCCCTTATCAACATTGCTTTAAAGTGTTATCCCCATTTTTGGTGTGAGTATTCCTTCACCGATAGTTGAGTGAATAGAGGACCCTACTTTCTGCTTATCCCTAGTTTCTCCTCTTTACCTACTAGCTGTTGTAGGGACGGGTCGACTATTCCTACCCTCGTCCTATCTGGTATTTTTGTTACTTTGTCACGTTCCCATACTCAATTAAAGCGACACGATGAGGGTTCGGGTCGGGTCGGGGTGGGGCGGGGCGGGGCATGACAAGTAGGGGCGGAACTAGGATTATTATTCAGTGCGGGCAAATTTTTTTAATGTGTTCGTATCATTTACATGCTCTAACAATTCTTTCTCGATTGTTGTCTTTACAACGAACATAGTTGTGCTCGCTTTGATTATCTACTTTTATAGAGCCATGATTTTATCTAGTGGTATCGTGTCACTTCCATCAACTACTTCTTGTAGGTCTTGTCGTTGGAGATAAAACTCTATGTAAATTTGTTACGTAGTGTAATTTTTGGTTATTGAACTTTTTCATTATGTCTATGACTTTTAGGTTTTCTATCGTGATTTAATTTACCTCTTTGTAATCAAACAAACTTTATAGAAGCTTAGAATTTCCCTTTGTACACGAACCCAAAAAGCTCAAAAATTCGTCTATGATTGCTACTCTCTGATAACAAATTGTTAAATTCAAATATTAAAGAATCAATTTAATTGATGAAATTTTGTGTAATATTTTGTTACAAAACACACTCTCTCATCAAAGACCAATACACGCTACCTCAACAACACCCACTCCACTTTGCTGCAAGATCAGTCTCTCTCTATCACGACACTCAACCCACTTTCTCTCTCTCTTCTCACTCTATCAATTTTCTGCAAGACTGCAACCAGTTTCAATTCTCTACAAGATTGCAACCAATTTCTCTAACACTCCACACACACACACATCCTAGCACTAGCACCTTCAAGATTTTTCATTGTTGATGATTTACTCACTTTTAAGCTTTTGCCTTCTAGTTTGTGGGCACCCAAAACTCAAGTGTGAAAGGAAATGAGCCAAAGTTCAGTGTGGGCATATGCCCGCTAGTATGCTCGCACTGGACCCTTTATAGCTCCGCCCCTAGTTACAGGTCTCCTACCCTATTTATCGCCCTATTTATTATAATTATTTATTTTATTTTTTATATCTTTAGTTAGTAAATATTAGTACTTTTTTCAATTAAGAACAATTCATGTTCTTTTTAAAAATGATAATAAATCTTTTATTTTTGTTTGATTAAAAACTTAAATTTTAAATGGGGAGGATAGTGGGGTCAGGGACTATGTTTCCCGTATCGTCCTATACTAGCTTCGAAGCAATGACTCCTATCCTGTCGTCGCTCCATTTATCTAGTTAGGCGTGTAATCTTCGCCCCATTCGGAGTGGGGCTTCACGGTTATTGGATTGAACATGTTTTTTGCCATCCTTAAGATTGTGCCATAATTGACACTATGGACTCATATTTAGGGTTTCATCTTAGTCATCTACATCTCCATCCTATCCTGTTTGCTACACGGATTTTGTAAAGTCCGATTCGACCTTTCTACCTCAGTACCCACATTTTTAAAAATCTCTCCCAGATCTTCCACATCCCTATCCAATTTTTTTAGATGTTCCTCTACTGCTTTGACCTTAGTATCCCTCTGAAACCACTTGTAGTGGTTGGGTGAATCCTCAACCAAAACCAGCTAACTTAACAAAAATTATTCACAAATATAAGCAAACAGCTAGGAAGCTATAAATCTATTAATGGAAACGGAATTGAAATGAAACCATTGCTAGAAAGAAGAAAGGAGGGGGAGATTCAGAAAATTGGGAAAGACGAAAGGAGATCAAGCTTCTGACAAGTTCCAACTAACTCTTACTCCCCTCTCATATGTTAAAATAAAGAAAAAAGTGTTTCCTAGATAAGTTGCATTACCACTTTTACAATTAAAGAAAACATAAGTAAATGGCATCGTCTGAAAACCAATTAAAAAACAAGTAAGTGGCGTTGTTTCTCCAAGTTTGAAAAGCCGTTACTTTTGTTTGTTGTTTCTCGGCCTTCATCCCCATTCAGCTGGTATGATCTACTCTTTTCCTTCACTTGGATTGATCTGCTCCTCTTCATGACATTGGGTTTAAGTGGTACCACTTATCGCGCTCTTGGTTCCATTATGTAAACGGGATTTTGATTACTTTTCCCGAATGAAATGGTATCGAGGTTTTGTTTCATTTAGTAGATGTAAAAGCTTGTGGAAAGTTGTTCATTCCCTTAGAAGATGGTATGGAAATGTAAATTGCCTCCAAGGGTGGGATTTTTACTATGGATGCTTGTTAGAGGACAGGTGTTGATAGTGGACAATCTCTTAACAAAGGTTTTTATGTTATAAAGTGGTGCTATATGTGTAAAAGGGATGCAGAGACAATAGATCACTTGTTCCTGCATTGTGATGTTGCTTGTTTGCTATGGAACGATATTTTGAAGTCTCAACACATGAAATGGGTTTTCTCGCGATGTATGGAAGACATGTTAAAGGTATGGAGGAGAGTTTCGCAATAATGGTAGCAAGCTTGTATGGGAAATTATTCCGGATTGTATCGTATGGTGTATGTGGAGAGAAAGAAACAATCGCTACTTTTGATGATCAAACACGGATAACAGAGCAGATTATAAAATTATTTTATTTGAAATTGTATACTTGGCTGCGACTTTTAGGCGTATAGACGGGTGGCCTAATTTCATGTTGTTTCTTTCAGATTTAAATTGATAATACACTTCCTGTGTATAACCCATTGAATAAAAAAGTACTTGGCCCCCGTTTGATCCCCATTTTCATCCTACTAATGCATTTTCATGTCAAATCGTGGTTGGCTCAGCTGCTTGGCCATCATTTCACATGTATATAAATTACCACACCTTTTCTGTTTTGCCCTCATTGAATTGGACCAAAAGTAGGAAAGATTCCAACAGCATTTAAAAATTCGAAGGACGAATGTCGGAAAATGGGGTGGAAACTGCAGTAAATAGGACTGCACTGAAGGACCCATGGTATCAGACTAATGTTCGATTACCTCATTTTAGTTAGGCAAAAATGTGGGACAAACACACGCTTGATTACTTTTCCCAAAAAAAAAAATATATATATATATATAATAATAATAATAATAATGTCCTTGTAATTTGAAGGACATAGTGATTCTTTAATTTTTAACAAGAAGTTTCATATGATCCACAGCTGTTATCATTTATGACTTATCCAACACTCATTTCTATCACATTATAATTTCAGCAAGAAACCCAAGGAGGCACTAAATGAATTTAATATATCAGAAATTATTGGCTGACCAATATAAAAGCGAGTATTTATAGAGAGGGTATGATAGTGAGTGAGTGAAAAGTAAATTCAGGATAGTTTTTAGATAAACTTTTCAAGATTTCAAAAATCGTTATCTGATTGAAAACCTAAAGTTAAAACTATCTAGAGCCATTTGAAGAAAAAAGTTTAGATGCTCATGTAGGAAATACAATAGATGCCAGTAAGTCAAGACAATGAACCTCCTTTTTTATGTGAATGTGTCACTCTGTGTCTTATATGGTTGTGTGGGCTAACAATTGCAGAAATTTAGGTTTGAATTTCGAAGGTGGCACCTTGTTTGTGATCTTGGTTCCATTGCATATCCAGTGCATAAATAGATAATGGTTAATTGAACATGTGAAAATTATGACGTTTTAGAGACTGGATTGAAAGTCAATTGCATGCTCTCACTTTTTCATTTTTTTTTTGGTTCTTTGCAAATGTAGCTACTGTGGTCTAGGTTTAAGTACCTCTTGCACGATTCCTTCCTTAAGGAAGTAAGCATGCTGCAACTTTTTATATATGTACGTGGCTTATGAATATGGGCAATTAGGAATGCTGTTACTGATACATCTAGTTATGTCTTTGCAGCGTTTAAAATGGATTTTTTAATTTTTTAATTTTTAAAATTTTTTTGCTTCTCTTAATATCTACCTGATTGATTGTTGTTCGTTCAGTGGTAAATGAGGGGAAAATCAATAGGCCACTCGCATCCCAAACCCTGCGCTGGGAGGAAAACATCAAGAACGGGCAGGAGTAAAGGAGAAGCTGATAATGTTATTCTTATCGATGTAGATCCTGATCATTTTGACAGTGATGTTATCATTGATGTTCCTGAATCTTTGCCAAAGAAACCCCAGGGTTCAAGAATACTCAGGAAAGATAAAAAGTGGCCATTTAGGACTGTTATATGTATTGACGATGACGAAAGCACGGATGACAACCATTCTGGTGTAGGTGTAAATGATAATGATAGTTTCTCTAATGGCGCTACCCATAGCAAGAAATCTTGCTTTGACTCCAAAGAGTTTGAAAATGCTGCAGGTTCTGCTGGTGAAGAATGTGACTTTGTTCAAGAAAATACGACTCCAGTTAGGTTATCAAAATGCAAGCGTACCTACTCTGGAAAAGCTTCCACAAAAAATGTCTATGGTCCAAGTGTCAATTCAGAAATTGATTTATCCGGGAATGATTCTCCTGATTGTGAGTTAATGGAAGATTCTTCTGGAGAGCTTCGAAAACAGTGGGAAAAGGCTTTTTTCAGGAGGAAAAAAGATAAGCGTAATGGTGAATATGATGCTAAAGATTGTGACGATACTTCAAAGGATTTCAAAGATAATGACCATCATAATGTTAGAAAGGAAAGCAATAGTCAACAACATGAGGAAGCCCCATTCTGTTCTAGTACAAGCAAATCCAGTGAAAAAAATGAAGCTCAATCTCCTTTTATTACAAAGGAGGATGTCAATTTCGGTAGCACTTTTTTCGAGGGTCCTACTTCTGCTGATTTTTCTTCTCAATCAGAGCTGAAAACACACATGCGGAATAATCAGCCTGATATCAATGAGAGATCACATTCTGGAGCTGAATATCCTCCTTTCAATTTTGCTGAGCAGCAAAGTTCATTTGAAACTGATGTTGAAAATGACATATCCAATGTAAGAGCCAAAACTGATAAGTTTGAGGAGAAAGTTATTGTTAGTGATAAGGATATGGAGCATTTGCAACCTTGTGAACCAGGTGCAACTAGAAGTTTTAAGGAAAAGGAGAATTTAATGTCTGAAAATTCTTCATTTCTGAAGTTTTCATCACAGAATGATCAAGTTAAAGACAATGCTACTCTTTCCAGTAATAAAGTTGGACCTGTCTCTGGAGAAGCCACCTTCTGTAAAAATTCAACTCTTGATCCAGGAGATGTCACTGACAAGAGCAAGAAGTTGGCTCCAGAGATACCATCATCCTGCAATAGGAATCTTAATGAAACACAAATTAGAGAGGACGATTCTTGTTTGGACAAGGCTGTGGAAAAGCTCATTGAACATGTATCAAACGTTCAGATGGAGGTTGAAAGAGATGATCCGCAACATACCCAATATGGAGATAATTCCCGAGTTGTAGAGAATTTTATCATTAACGAACGAGAAAAGCTTAAGGAAACAGAAGAATACAAAAAAGCAATAGAAGAAGAGTGGGCTTCTCGGCAACGGGCATTACAAATTCAGGTTTATTACCATCCCTGTTATATTTTCTTCAGTTGTGCTGCACGTTGGTTTTTTTCTTCATTTGTTATGCTTTCGTGAGAATATTTGGGGATTGCTGTTCATTATTTAATGCTATTTTAGCTTGCTATGACACTTCAAGTCTTGTAGAATTGTTTTCAAGTTTCTTTAATGTAGGTATTATTTAAGTTAATGAGCACATCTAATATTGATAAAAAAGAATAGCAAATCGAACTCCAGTAATATAAGTTCTAAATGAAGTTTGTAAAGCCTACTTATTAATGCTGGTGGAAGTTGGTTATAGTACTTGATTCTCTCTTTTGTACGCTCTTCTGAATGATGGTTTATTTGCAACCTTTTTTGATACTATATGCTTCAAAACTTTGTAGTTATCATTACAAGATGAAACATTTCTACTTGAATCGTCCAAAACTTTTAATAGGTTCCTGTGCTTGATTTAACAGTTTATTGTTGGCATGAAAAAACTATTGTCGGGTGCTTACATTAGTTTCTGGTATTCGAAGGTATAATAGATGAGCAGTGCTTCTCTAGTAGGTATTAAGTGCTTACTGTTTCCAAATCAAATATACATATTTTACTCCAGAGCATTTCAATAATAACACCTCCTCGAATCGTCATGTTAGATACTTTTGCTTCCTCTAACATGATGCATCCTGCTTTAAAACTTACACTGGAACTTTTTTATCACGAGATGTGGTAGGTTGAGGCTCCTTCCTGGTTCTTTAGTCTGGTTCAAAGAAATTAAAATTATGGCTCAATGCTTACAACTGGGGATGTAACTAGGTTTATAGTGCCACCCGGACTTGTGGATTAGTTAAAGCTCATTAACAAGTGGCACAATTGTTAAAATGAAACAAGATCCTGGAATTTTTTATCTAGAGAGTTCTCTATCTTGATTAAAGAACATAAGAGTAGTTACAGAACAAAATAAGTTTACCAAAGGGGATTTTATATTATGAGATCCTTAAGCAGTTAATTCATCTACAGAACAGGAATGAGAATTAAAATTGCTGGAAATCAAATCATATATGTTGTGCCTTTATATTGGAACATCTCGTGCTCTGCAGATCTCTGCATTGTTGAAAATAAACGATTCTCAGATTTATATATATTAACAACTAACAAGCTTCATACTTGAAATCTCTCTACCACTTTGAAGGAGTTATTAGGAGAACTGCTATATCTATATCCTTCAATTATTTGTACTTTTGTAGTTGTTCTAGGTCACTTAAACACTTCCCATCCTTAACAGAGCTAACCAAGAGAGGCAAAAAACAAGAGTGAACAAAGTAAACCAAAGAATGAGTTATTTTTTCTTTATGTACTAGTATTGTCATTGTTTTCTTCTAATAACTGTCATTTATAGCATGAAAGCTATTTCTTGGAGCAAACATCCAAAATTTTCTCTCTAATTTCATTTTATTTACGGGGTTTACCATTTAAAGGTTTTGGGCTATCCCATTAATGCTATCTCAGATAAAAATAGTTTGCAGATGATTTGTCTGTTCGGTCTTTTATAGGCTGAAGAAGCACAACACTTGAAGCAATTGCGGAAGAGACAAAAAGCTGAAAGCATGCGTTTGTTGGACATGGAAAGAAGACAAAAGCAGCGCGTGGAAGAAATACGTGAGACTCAAAAGAAGGTGTGAGAAAAATCTTTCTCTTACACATGATCCCTTCATTTGTTAGGTTCTGAAGGTATCTTTACTAGTTAGTGTACCATGAAATGTTGTATGACATGGATGTTATTCCATTTCACACTTTATAGGATGAGGAAAATATGAACTTGAAGGAGGTAATTCGTAGTGAGGTCAGGACACGACTTAAGCAATTGGAAACCACGTGCCATGATATGGCTTCTCTGTTGCATTCCTTGGGAATCAATTTGGCTACTTGGCCTCATCCATCACCACATGAGGTTGGTCATACTTCCACTATAAAGTAGATATTTTCGTGGTCGTGAATGGGTTGTATATTGGTCTTTAGTTCCTGCTATGGCAATAAATATTTTGATAAAAATACGTTATGTCTATTTTCTTTCATTGCAACAGCTAGACTAGTGTTCTGGTCACTTCTGTTAGTGGTGTCTGAAAATTCTTGGTCACTCTTTCAGTCTCGGCCTACTGTCTCTCTCTCTCTCTTTGTCCTTTTATTTTTTTCCCCTTTTCCTTTGTTTCTATTTTTCTCTTGTTTGACGGGTACTTCATGTCTTCTGTGAGTTCTGCCTTGAGGAATGAGTTCTTGTGATGTCATATGTATGACTGAACATTCTGCCCCTGTTTGATGACCATATTTTCTTTTTTTTTTTTAAAAATAAAAAATAAAAAATATTTTAGGAGAATGTGATTAAAAAGTAGAGAAACTTTTTGGTTTACGAGCAAAATATTTTATTCTATGAATGTGTGGTTGAAAATAAGTGTGTTGAAAAAAGAGTTTGAAAATAATGCTTGTCAGAAAGGGGCCCTGTAATTGACAGTTCATTGTGGGACTCATTTATATTGGTGTGACAATTTTCTGGTGTCATTCTTCCACCCTGTGTAGAATCTGTTTTGGGATTGGGCATAAAGAACTACTGTTCTTGATAGATTTCTGTGGCTTTTACTTTCAAAGGGATTGATGGCTAAAGGTTGTTAATTAGGTCTAGTCTAATGCAGTCGACCAATTTCTTCATCTTTACTAAAAGCAAAAAGCATGTCTCTGGATTTTATGGGAAGTCCACAAAATTTTACTTGCACCTGGGTACAAACAGTTTGACTCTTTTTATCGTTGCTGATGAAATCTCCCAATCATAAGCCTATATGTGTTCTGTCATGAATATTGGGCACGCAACAGGGTTGCAGATTTGTGTGCGGATATTTTATTCAACACTGTGAAGCAAGTTTTATGCATCATTACTTGGGTTTGCCGACTCATTTAATTTCAGATTCATAACCAAATAAATTATTTCTGTACATGCAATTACATGACTTTAAGTAGTTTGTTTAACAATGATGTTTCTCCTAGCGGGTTTCTTATCTTTACATGTTTATCATATTGTTGATATTCTGTCTATGTGAAGTAAGACTATCCTAATTCTTTTTGAAGTGATTAGTGACAGTTGCTGACATTGCAGGTGCAAACAGCTTACAAACGGGCCTTGCTGACCTTTCACCCTGATCGAGCCTTGCAGTCCGACATTCGTCAACAGGTGGAAGCTGAGGAGAAATTTAAGCTTATCAATCGCCTGAAGGATAAATTTTCAGCTTCTTTAAGCCAATAATGTTGTGTATTCAAGTAAATCTTCTCTCACACTTATGGGTTGAGCTATTTTGCTAATGTGCTACCAATGCTTCAGGTACTTTATATAGAAAGCGTGTCGGATAGGTGGGCAGCTCTCTGGGGTTTGATCAAATCCAGAATCCTGATAATCGAAATAATTATATTTGTCCAAAATATTTGTAGTTTTGAAGCAAATTGCACGGTTATGTAATTTTGGTAATTATATGAATGATCTTTCAATTCATTTGATATTTTATTGATAATTTTTGAATAACTCGAAGTTCACATAATATATTTCTTTATTTTTCTTGGATTATGCTAATGTAAAATATCAGACCCCAACTGATTCTAGCTTGATTTGCACTCCATGTTGAGGGCGTAGAGTGATAATCAATACTGGGGAATGAACATAATTTGGACAGGGTGTGAATTTATAGCGCTGAAGGATCATTGAGAGTGCTATTTTTGCTTCATTTGTTGCGAAGTTTAAGCCGACGCACGTTCGGGGTCCGGAACCAAATGGGAGGAATGCCATGGGGTTATTCTTTGTTGCCTTAGCCACCCCTTCTGCAAATCTCTCTGGCTTGAAAAGGTGAGCATCTTCTCCCCACATTTCAGTGTTTCTGTGGAGTGCAAGTTGTGGAATATGCAACTCCATGTTCCCTGGAAATTCGTACTTCCCCAGTCGAACTTTTCTTTTCACTCTTCTTACGAGACTTGCTGCCGGGCTGTAAAGTCTTAGGGCTTCGTTGATGATCATTGTTACCTGAACACATAACGAGAAAAGAAGCATGTGATTAAAGTAGCGAAGTAAATGAGATGTTCATCAATGTCCAATTCAGTATAGTAAACGTGCCATTATGGCATGTTTTCTACGTACTCAATATTTTTGTAATATTAAATCGATGCAAATTTGTGTTTAAATGTTATGCTTACAGTCTTCATTCTGGCAAGGCCTTCTGATGTTGGATTTTCTTTTCCAAATAATTCAAGCACTTCTTTTCTTGCTTTTTCTTGCCAATCTGGGTGGATTGCTAAGAGAAGAGAAGTCCAAGACATTAAGCTGCTAGTTGTTTCATGTCCAGCAATGTAAAATAACTTACATTCATCAATTACATCATCTACTGATATTCTATTTTTCTTATCAGAATCGTGGTGAACTTTTAGCAGAGCTCCAAGAAAATCACTTCCAAAATTATCTGCTTCTCCTGTCAATACTTTTTCTTCTCTTTTCTTTATTATGGACATGATTGAGTCCCGAAGAGACCGCTCGAGTTTGTCCGATTCAATGTCATACTCGGTCTTAAATATTTTCCTGCAATAATCAGAATAAAAATTATATACTAATTTCAAGTAGTTCATCATCCTGTTTTAAGTGGAGAGCTGGAAAATTACTCGATGCCTGGAAACCGAAACTGTTCAGCAGTTCTGGCAACGATGAAGCCTAATCGTGTTAGCATTTCAAATATGTTTTTCCCTTCTAAATAACTGCTTCCAAAAGCTGTCCTGGAAATCACTTCTGAACCCAAAACCACGAATTCTTGGCATACATCGATTTTTTTGCCTTCGTAATCTCTCCATTTGCCGATCATAGTTTCAACACTTGCAACCACTGCTGGAACCATATCCTGAACAAAGAATTATATCATGAACCTTGAATACGTTGATACTGTTTTTTTCTTTTTTTCAAATTCGATTTGTTAAAAGAATAATTCTACTCCTACAAAGTTGGTGTACAAAAGTGGAGTGTCAAAGTGTGTTGGCAAAATATGGATCCTTGATTTCAAATGATTTAAAAATCTGTTTTTGAAATGATTGGTGTAGATTTCATTTTGTAATCTAACTTTGTAAACCCCCTTTGTCATTAGCATAGCTCTCGTTAAAATATAACAGAAAGAAGTCAATTACCTTCAAGTTCTCTGCATGGAAAGCATGGTTAGCCAGTTTTCGTACTTTGAACCATTTCTCCCCTTCTGCAACAACAAGCCCATCTCCCAGAAACTTTTTCAAGATGCCTCTGATTTTCGTTTTTGGGTACATACCATTTTTATTGCTTAGTATTTCTTTAGCTAACTCGGGTTCAGTAATCACCATATGAGGCTGAGGTCCCGCCCAAGTAAGAAAATTCTTTCCTGGTTTCAATGAATGAGCTGACTTTAGCTACTTAAATTTTTATAAAAAACAAATATATAGGAAGATATACACAAGCAGGAGGTGAAGGCCGTAAGAGAAGATTTCCTTCCTGGTGAGGAAGAGGGGAAAAGATGTTTTTCGGCGCCAGAAATCCTGATTTGCTCAGAGAATCACCCTCACTTTTGGTGATTTTTAAAGCGCGCACCCACACACACATATATAAAGAGAGAGTTATTTGCATACCATATAACTTCATCCATTGATGGAAATGAGGTTGAACTCTAGGGAAAATATCATGAGATAAATCCATAGGATATTTCATGGATTGTAACTTAATGCTCACAATTTCTTTGTTGTTTCCATGAATAAATTTGTAAGGAGGACCTTCTATTCCTTGTGATCGCATTACATTTTGTACATGAAATGGAATCCACACAACCTTGTAGAGAAATCTAACAAAAATGAGTGCGATTAAGCAAAGAAAAACCGCCAAAAGCACGCTCATGGCTTCAGACAAGATTAGAACTTCGTTTATGTACTGATCGAATAAACATGAAATAAAACTACATCATAATAGAGCTTTATAAATGGTGAAGGGAATCTAGGAATTAGGAAAAAGATGCCAGGGCGATATATTTAACATAAATGTACACAAGAAATGAAAATGATGCTCTTTATTTTTTGTTCATGGATTATATGTTTTGGATTATATAAAGGAGATGATTTCTAAAGAGAGACTGCCGAGTTGCAGGTTATATGTAGTTCCGCCCCCACAACAGACAAGAAGAAATGTACGACATATACTCCAATGAAACAGTAATTTGTTTTATGAATGACACTACACTGATGTGAAGCTCTACAAATATAATTCCCCACTCTTTTAAGATTTTGTTCTGTTTAATGTGTTAAATTTTGCTGTATATTGAACTTCTAGTTTATTGAGACCTTATAATGAAACAAGGAAACCAACATCATCTGGTCGAGGTTGATTTGACATTTAGCCCTTGTTTTAGTCCCATTTTTATCATAAAAATACATTTTGAAATAGTGTATTGATGTAAAATGTGTGGTTAAAAAATAAGGAAAAATTTTAAATTTGCGTGTAATATTATTCTATTGAAGAATATTTAATTGAAATGAGGTTAAAGCATTATTTAAGAATGCATTTTTTTTATTTCAAAGAATGGGGCTCAACCAAGGGCTTACTAACGTCCCCATGGAATAAAAAATTAAATGAGAACTAGTGTGTAAGAGATGTTATTGAAACAAGAACCTAAAATTATTTTAATTTTAGTTAATAATTTTGCAATCCAGGATAGGTTTTAATTTCTAATGCAGTTCAAGATATTTCATCGTNTTCCTTCCTAGTGAGAAAGAGGGGAAAAAGATGTTCTGCGTTAGAAATCCATATTTGCTCAGAGGAATGATACTACATGTACAGAGGCCCGCCAGGTAACACACATGGGGGGCTATTGCTATTATTATTATATTTTTTTTTCAGGTGGGACCCGCTACTACAGTGAGAGGCCTGTAAGGCCTCTGTGAAGAGCTGCCCAGTACGTGCAGTTTTATCGTGCTAAGAGAATAACCCTCGCTTTTAGTATTTTTTAAAACGCGCCAACACACACATTTAGAGAGAAAGTTGATTGCATACCATATGACTTCATCCATTGATGGAAGTGAGGTTGAACTCTAGGGAAAATATCATGGGATAACTCCATAGGATATTTCATGGATTGTAACTTAATGCTCACAATTTCTTTGTTGTTTCCATGAAAAAAATTGTAAGGAGGACCTTTTATTCCTTGTGATCGCATTACATTTTGTACATGAAATGGAATCCACACAACCTTGTAGAGAAATCTAACAAAAATGAGTGCGATTAAGCAAAGAAATACCGCCAGAAGTGCGCTCATGGCTTCAGACAAGATTTTAACTTTGTTTATGTACTGATCAAACAAACATGAAATAAAACTGCATCGTAATAAAGCTTTATAAATGGTTAAGGGAACCTAGGAATTAGGAAAAAGATGCCAGGGCGATATAATTAACATAAATGTACACAAGAAATGAAAATGATGCTCTTTATTTTTTGTCCATGGATTATATGTTTTGGATTATATAAAGAAGGAGATGATTTCTAAAGAGAGACTGCCGAGTTACAGGGTTATATGTAGTTCCGCCCCCACAACAGACAAGAAGAAATGTACGACATATACTCCAATGAAACAGTAATTTGTTTTATGAATGACACTACACTGATGTGAAGCTCTACAAATATAATTCCCCACTCTTTTAAGATTTTGTTCTGTTTGATGTGTAAAATTTTGCTGTATATTGAACTTCTAGTTTATTGAGACCTTATAATGAAACAAGGAAACCAACATCATCTAGTCGAGGTTGATTTGACATTTAGCCCTTGTTTGAGTCCCATTTTTATCATAAAAATACATTTTGAAATAGTTTATTGATGCAAAATGTGTGGTTAAAAAATAAGGAAATTTTTTAAATTTGCGTGTAATATTATTCTATTGAAGAATATTTAATTGAAATGAGGTTAAAATATTATTTAAGAATGCATTTTTTTTTTCAAAGAATGGGGCTCAACCAAGGGCTTACTAACGTCCCCATGGAATAAAAAATTAAATGAGAACTAGTGTGTAAGAGATGTTATTGAAACAAGAAACTAAAATTATTTTAATTTTAGTTAATAATTTTGCAATCCAGGATAGGTTTTAATTTCTAATGCAGTTCAAGATATTTCATCGTTAGATCTCAGTTCTCATTCACATATTTATTTTTATAAACAATGTTCTAATATAGACGTTATTGAAACGTAGACATTTGTTTAGAAATAAGGTTTTGAAATATATAACGCAGAAATTAACTTTTACAAAATAGGAGAAAAGAATGAATTTTATTCATCTTATCCAAATGTTATTTACAACGCGGTATAAATAGAAATTTTGATCAACAAACTAACCAATACAATTGTGACACGTGTATATTTACAACTAACTAATAGCTGAATCCGTTTGTTGCTCCCTGGCTGAATCTAGTAGTTTCTTCAAGCTTCCAGCTACTTGTATTCTGTTACGCCCCCTCAAGATGGACTATG